TATTCGACTCGAATCGAAATTTTTCCACGAATTCGCCGAATCAGTCGAATCGAATTTTTGAATACTTCGCTCATCTCTAAACATAACCATCTTTCATCATCTGTGACCACCATTTCCCTAAACCCAACCAGTTGCCTAAGGGGACTACTCATATTAGGCTGGGGAGGCAATTGGCAAAAACCTCATGGAAGTTTATGGTCAGCAATGTATAGCAAATGCACAACATATAACGTAGCACTATTTTATTTATTTATTACAGGTACTTACATAGTGCAGTCAATTTACGCAGCGCTTTTATTTATATATATATATATATATATATATATTACATTCACATCAGTCCCTAATACTCAACGGGTGTACAATCTAAGGTCCCTAACTCACATTCATACATACACATATAGACAGGAGCCAATTAACCTACCAGCATGTCTTTGGGGTGTGTTGGAGGAAACCAACGCAGGCAAAGGGAGAACATGCAAACTCCAGGCAGGTGGTGCCATGGCTGGGATTCGAACCAATGCTAGTACTGCCAGGCGGAAGTGTTAACCATTTAGCCCCTGTGCTGCCCTGTTTCTTCTAGGCTGCTGGTGTCTGTGGGTGCCTCATTGACTAATCGTTAGCCACATCAGCCAGATTTGGCAGCTTCCAATATTTCAAAGTAAATCAGTGAATGTTTGCTTGCCATGCAATACTTTGTACATTACATAGTTTATTGAAAAAGTTCTAAGGGCAATGTCTTGCATTGGGGGGAGACCTTTTCAATTTGACATACTGCTAGTTGGCCTATCAGCCCCAAAATATTTACAATGGTGCTTGCACCCTACTTGCCCTTCTAAGAACTTTGGACATTTAGGTCAAAGATTAACCTAGATGACCTCCTTCTGAGGGATTCAACTCCATCAAAACTATCTGCAAACGTCCAGACAACTATACAAATGCTTTATTTATTTTTTGCCTAGTAATCAACCTTCAAAAGTTTGCTTTCTGGCCCTCCCCCTCATCTAGAATACTTGGACCTCATTCTAGACACAGCCCAGGCAAAGTTTTTCCTTCCAGAAATCAATCTTGCTCATCGAAGATCACATGCTCAGATTGTCAGGTTTCAGTGGTAGCAAGCCCTTGTAGTTCACTAACTCAGGGTTCCCAGGGAGCAGAGTCTAAGCCTGCTTCTTCACCAGAGACCCTGAAGGTGGGGATGGCCTTGCAGCAAGTTGGAACCAGGTTTCCCAGCTGAGAACACCGAGTCTACTAGCATGTACAGAGTACAACAGCAGGAGACTGAAGGAAAAACCAGGAGACAAGACGAGGTCAGGGCGGGTGGAAGCCAAGCATAGACAGTAGATGAAGTTGGGATCAGTACATAGATAGTCAGTCAGAATATACAAAGTAGTAAGCAGAGAACTGAAGTTACTTATACAGCTTGGCCTGCACTGAGCATGTGTATACAGTGGGTATAGAAAAGAATCACCTCCCCCCTTTAAAATAATCACATTTTGTTGTTTTGCAGCCTGAAATGAAGATAGACGCAGTCTCTCTTTTACCCAGCTATATTTACTGTATTTAGATTTATTTAGTGTAACTTCTAACATCCAAGTGAAAAATATAACCCCAACATGTCAGAGAAAAAAATAAATAAAAATCACTGCATTGCAAAAAGGATCACCCCTCCTAAAAATGACTTGTAAACTCAATCAGGTGTAGCTAATCACCTTTTCAGTTGCACACAAAGCCATTTGACTTACATCTGTGGTAAGCTGTGGACATTTTGATTAGCTCAGCATGAAAAAAGCTTTCCTAGAGCATTTCAGGCCCTAGTAGTGCAACTGAAGCAAACAATCAACTATGGGTGGCTAGGCACTGTCAAAAGAACTCTGGGATAAAGCTGTGGACAGGCACAAGTCAGGAGATGAATGCAAAAAAAAATTCAAAGGCTTCATCAATGACTAGAAGCACAGTGAAGTCTATTATTAAGATGTGAAAGGTGTTTGGTACAACACAGACCCTCCCTCGATCATCACATTGCTCCAAACTGGATGAGAGCCAGGAGGAAACTGGTCAGAGAGGCTACCAAGCAGCCTACAGCACCTCTGAAGCAGTTGCAGGAATCTTTGATGACAATATCACAAATTCTCCACAAATCTGGTTTGTATGGGAGGGTTGCAAGAAAAACAGCCACTCCTCAAGAAAGGTCACATGCAGTCATGACTGAACTTTTGCCAAAATGCAGCTTGAAGATTCTGAGGCCACACGGGAAAAGGTGTTATGATCAGATGAGACTAAAATTGCTAATATCCTGTTATGGGGGGGTGTTTCTCAGCAGGGACTGGAGCACTTGCCATGATAAAAGGAAAAATGGATGGGCAAAATACTGTCAAATTCTTGTGGAAAATCTGCCAGAAAGTTGTCAATTGGGAAGAAGGTTTACCTTCCAACATGACAATGACCCAAAGCACACAGCAAAAATTACCACACAGTGGTTGAAGGAGAAAAAGGTGAATGTCCTTGCATGGCTTAGTCAGAGCCCAGACTTTAAACCCCAGGTAGACGTACACAAGGCTGGAATGAGCTACAAGACCATCAGCGAGAAGCTTAGTTAGAAGGAGACAACTGTTGGAACGATTATTCGCAAATGGAAGAAATATAAAATAACCATTAATTGCTCTCGGTCTGGAGCTCTATGCAACATTCCGCCTCATGGGGTAAGGATGATCATAAGAAAAGTGAGGGATCAGCCCAGAACTAAACTGGAGGAGCTTGTGAATGATCTTAAGGCAGTTGGGACCACAGTCACCAAACAAACCATTGGTAACACAATACGCTACCATTGATTGAAATCCTGCTGTGCCTGCAAGCTCCCCCTCCTCAACAATGCACATGTACAGGCCCATCTGAAGTTTGCCACTGAACATTCAGAGAAGGATTGGGAGAAAGGGCTGTGGTTAGATGAGACCAAAATTGAGCTCTTTGGCATAACTCGACTTGCCGTGTTTGGAGGAAGAAAAATGCTATGACCCTAAGAACACCATCCCTACAGTCAAGCACAGAGGTGGAAACATTATGCTTTGAGGCTGTTACTCTGCTAAAGGTAGAGGCCAACTTTGCAGCATTGAGGGGCCAATGGATGGGGCCATGTATTGTAAAATCTTGGATGAGAATCTTCTTACCACAGCCAGAACACTGAAGATGGGTCATGGATGGGTCTTCAAGCATGACAATGACCCAACACATACTGCCATGGCAACAAAGGAGTGGTTTAAGAAGAAGCACATTAAGGTCATGGTGTGCGTAGCCAGTTTCCGGACCTTATTCCTATAGAAAATTTAAGGAGGGAGCTGAAACTTCAAGTTGCCAAGCGACAGCCAAGAAACCTTAAGAATTTAGAGAAGATCTGTAACAAAGAGTGGACCAAAATCCCTCCTGTGTTGTGTGCAAGCCTGGTAACCAACTACAAGAAACATCTTACCTTTGTGTTTGCCAACAAGGGTTTCTCCACCAAGTACTAAGTCATGTTTTGCTTGGGGATCAAATACTCACTGAACTGCAACTCAATTTATAACATTTGTATCACGTGTTTTGTCTGGATTTTTGGTTGATATTCTGTCTCTATCATTTAAAATACACCTATGATAAAAATTATAGACCTTTCATTTCTTTGTAAGTGGTCAAACTTACAAAATCTGCAGGGGATTAATTTCCCCGTTGTAAACAATCATATAAAACAAAGAAACACAGGGCACCTCCATCTAAGTGTATACTGTGTAACTGTTGGCATATAATATAAACATATATGTACTCATGCTTTTCAGGGTCCCTGCCCCTTTGTCAAACCAATTAAGTGTTTTCATTGGTTTGACAAAGGGGCAGAGCCCTAAGCCACTCCTCCTAAGTCTTGACTTCATCTCCCGAGGATTGCTCAAGGTTTTAATGCCAACAATTACAGAGTGTACACTCAGATGGAGGCACCCTCTTTGTGTTTCTTTGTTTTATATGTGTACTAGGTTACTCAAGACCTGTTCTTAGGGGAGCTGCCACTTTTCTCTTTTGAGTGATCATCACATCACCAAACTTTCCCTCCCCTGGTATTTATCCTGCTGCTCTTGTGAGGTTTCAGCAGTGTCATAGGTTGTTATATAATATAAATTATCATGAAATTCCATATACTGCAGACACAAGTGTATCAATAAGCGTGATACCAATCAAAAGCAAAATATTGATCTTGAATAAACTAAAACACCATTGGAAAAGCAGAAGATTCTGGTGGTGGGTATCTACCTAGAAGTTTCCTAATAAAGCTTAACTCATAAACTAAGATACAGTGGGACATGGTGAACATACCAAATACAGTACCTTCCAAATACCGTATTTTTCGCTCCATAAGACGCACCTGACCATAAGATGCCCCTAGGTTTTAGAGGAGGAAAACAAGAAAAAAAATATTCTGAACCAAATGGAGTACTAAAATATTTAATAAAACATACAGAATAATGTTTCAACCATGTAACGTGAACAGCAGTCAACAATGACATTTAGAACCATCATCACTGTCATTAACAAATGACGACAGGTTTGAAGGAATTGCTAGTAATGTGTCCTTCATTGTTATGAGAGCACTGTAGCTGAGAACATTACCCCCCATGTACACAGCACAGCAGCGCGGCCACCAGCACTCGCTCCTCCCACGGTATAACATGCTCATTCACTGAAAGGCTGGCCTGGCACCAGGGCTGTCTTTAATATTGATTGGGCCCTGGGCAAACATTTTCTGGGGCCCCTCCCAGGAGATGACCAGAGACTGCGGACATACTATAGGAGATGACCAGAGACTGCGGGCGTAGTACAGGAGATGACCAGAGACTGCGGGCGTAGTACAGGAGATGACCAGAGACTGCGGGCGTACTACAGGAGATGACCAGAGACTGCAGGTGTACTACAGGAGATGACCAGAGACTGTGGACACAGTCCAGGGGATGACCAGAGACTGCGGACAGTACAGGGGATGACCAGAGACTGCGGACACAGTCCAGGGGATGATCAGAGACTGCAGACACAGTACAGGGGATGACCAGAGACTGCGGACACAGTACAGGGGATGACCAGAGACTGCGGACACAGTACAGGAGATGACCAGAGACTGCGGACACAGTACAAGAGATGACCAGAGCCTGCGGACGTAGTACAGGGGATGACCAGAGACTGCGGACACAGTACAGGAAATGACCAGAGACTGCGGACATAGTACAGGAGATGACCAGAGACTGCGGACATAGTACATCATATAAAGTCCCAACAGGGCCCCTCCACCCAGAATATCAAATGATCTGACACCATACATCAAGGAAAAGGACTACAACTCCCAGCATGTCATTTTTAACTTACAGAAGGCAGGGGGCGCACTGACCTCCGAGGACAGGCCACACCAGCAGACAGGACCGGACTGCAGAGCAGGGAGCACACTATGGACACATGCCAGGAAAGGGGAGGAGCTGTAAGGACAGGCCACAACTGCAGACCGGACTGCAGAGCACGGAGAGCAGTACACAGACATGCCAGGAGCGGGGAGGAGCTCCGGGGACAGGCCATACCTGCAGGGCGGACCGGCAGAGCTGGGTTCGGTGGGGGACTGCCTGCTATGAAGAGCTGCGGGGTCAGCCCGCTGAGAGATGGGATAAGGTAGGGAGAACATCAGTGACAGGCTGCAGTGGGAGGGGACAGCCGCTGGCCCTAACACGGCGGCGGTGATAGGTGGAGGACTGTCAGTATACGGAGAGAGAGAAGGGATAAGGCAGGGAGAGCATTGGTGACAGGCTGCAGTGGGGACAGGCTGCAATGGGACGGGACAGCCGCTGGTCCTAACACGGCGGTGGTGACAGGTGGAGGACTGTCAGTATTCGCTCAATAAGACGCACAGACATTTTCCCCCATATTTTCTGGGGAAAAAAGTGCGTCTTATGGAGCGAAAAATACGGTAATCTATGAGAGTTATTCAGAGTAATACTAAAGATAATCCAAACAAGGACAGATATGGTTGGCGTGCTGTTCAAAAGTTGATAACCCTTAAAGTAGGCTTCAGTAGCTGTATAGTTAATATCTGTCAGTATGTACTCAATTCACTCATATGGGTTATTGACTAACCCGCCCTGGAAATTAGATGTCCTGTGTGGGAAGCATTGGACGTGGCTGTTAAACACAACCTTAAGTGCCTGTTCACTCCTCACCTGGTTGCCACCACACACGGTTGACACCATCTGAACCAAACAGGTTTATCTTGGTGTCATCAGACCACAGGACATTGTTCCAGTAATCCATGTCCTTAGTCTGCTTGTCTTCAGAAAACTGTTTGCGGGCTTTTTTGTGCATCATCTTTAGAAGAGGCTTCCTTCTGGGACGACAGCCATGCAGATCAATTTAATGCAGTGTGCGGCATATGGTCTGAGCACTGACAGGCTTACCCCCCATCCCTTCAAACTCTGCAATAATGCTGGCAGCACTCATACATCTATTTCTCAAAGACAACCTGGATATGCCGCTGAGCACTTGCACTCAACTTCTTTGGTTGACCATGGTGAGGCCTGTTCTGAGTGGAACCTGTCCTGTTAAACCGCTGTTTGGTCTTGGCCACCATGCTGCAGCTCAGTTTCAGGGTCTTGGCAATATTCTTATAGCCTAGGCCATCTTTATGTAGGGCAACAAATCTTTTTTTTCAGATTCTCAGAGAGTTCTTTCCCATGAGGTGCCATGTTGAACTTCCAGTGACCAGTATAAGAGAGTGAAAGCAATAACACCAAATTTAACACACCTGCTCCCCATTCACACCTGAGACCTTGTAACACTAACCAGTCACATGACACCGATAGGAAAAATGGCTAATTGGGCCCAATTTGGACATTGTCACTTAGGGGTGTACTCACTTTTGTTGCCAGCGGTTTAGACATTAATGGCTGTGTGTTGAGTTATTTTGAGGGGACAGCAAATTTACTTGTTATACAAGCTGTACATTCACTACGTCACATTGTAGCAAAGTGTCATTTCTTCAGTGTTGTCACATGAACAGATAGAAGAAAATATTTACAAAAATGTGAGGGGTGTACTCACTTCTGTGTGATACTGTATGTAACACCCTGGTGTAATACTGTTTGCAGGATGTTAAATGGAAACAAGATGGTAGTGTCCTGCAGCCCAGTTATACAGAATCTGCAAAAAACCTTTGTGGGATTCGTAGGCTGAGTTTGGTGGACTTCACTGTCTGACAGGGAATTAACAAACTACAGTTCCCACAGGAGCTGGTGGATGGGTGGAGGCAAATAAATACAGAATACCAAATTAAAAAAGAAAAAAAAGCGCCACTTACAAAAAACACCAAAATGGCAGCAGCATATCCCACCCAAAATAAATTTTGGCAACAATAATCCTAATTAAAAGGTATGCGCTAATAACAAACTTATACAAAGGTGTATATCATCATCCAAAAAACATTAGTGTTTTAAATAAATAATTATAGTGTCCAAACAAAAAAAATTAGTGTCCAAAAAAAAAATAATATATATCTCTTCAGTGACTTGAACCAATTGTGAAAAATCCACAACCAAAGGAGATTAAATGAACTCACCCAGAGCTAATGGCTGGTCAGATTATAAACCAGCAACAGCGCTTGTGCTCTGGGAGCAATGAACCCGATGTCCAAATAGATATGGTGATGTTTCAGATACTTCCAGATAATAATAATCACAGACAAACAACTTTGCAGCCCAAGCTCTTATGATGAACTTCTCCACTCTTTCTCATACCTCCATGAGAGCATGCAGTACACTCAGGGACAAAAAAGAGAACATAATGGTGCAATACGTGTTTTTCATTTATCTTTTTAATAAAAAAGGTATAAGGAAACTCACAAACAAGGTGTCCAACAGACACCAGCTTCAATCGCAAAAATGGGTTGAGATACAGTTAACGCTCACCGCAGATCTCTCCCATACAGCACAGACCAGCAAGGCTCTCTAACGTCCACATCGACGTGGATAGGCGTGGCCTACTCGATGTTTGTCTGTGATTATTATTATCTGGAAGTATCTGAAACATCACCATATCTATTTGGACATCGGGTTCATTGCTCCCAGAGCACAAGCGCTGTTGCTGGTTTATAATCTGACCAGCCATTAGCTCTGGTGAGTTTATTTAATCTCCTTTGGTGGTGGATTTTTCACAATTGGTTCAAGTCACTGAAGAGATATATATATATATATATATATATATATATATAATATATTTTTTTTTTTTTTTTTTTTTTTTTTGGACACTAATTTATGTTTGGACACTATAATTATTTATTTAAAACACTAATGTTTTTTGGATGATGATATACACCTTTGTATAAGTTTGTTATTAGCGCATACCTTTTAATTAAAATAAATACAGAAGCCTGGGAACATGAGGACAGGAAGTGGATGGAGAGAGCTGGAGAGCATGTGTAAGGAGAAGACCATGCAGGATGTTGGAGGTCAAAGCTGGGCCAGACCGCAGAGAATAGAGAAATTGCCGACCGCTGACAAGTCTGGCGGAGAGTCTCGTGAGCAGGAGAGCCAGAGTGCTGCTGTCCAGAATGATCTCTGAAAGAGGAACCATGAGGAAACAAGGGCCCCCGTCCACATAGAGACCATCCATCACCTGACAAAGCCACAGATCATGTGAGACAATTCCATACTGAAGCCAGTTCCACATGACATTACCAACTCCAGTTACTTTCTACTCAGCTTGACTACCATTGTTTCTCAAGTTACACATGTTAAGGCCCAAGTTGTTAAGTCTACTAGTTACTACACTTCTAGCATATCCAATCACAAGGGTCTACTGCAGTATCTGACCTCCAGCCCATGCCCAGCTGTATTATTGCTCCCATTATAGTCTGCCCTATTTGCTAAGGATCTCCTTCATTGCTGCAATTTGCCACAGAGGTCCAAGGAAGAACTATTTTCTACAGAATTGTTTTCCTGCCTATTTTTAATTTCTGCCAAATTTTACACCCTGTGTGTATTAAACTGGTACTGTTCAAACTCAACATCACTTAAAGGAGTAGTTTCCTTTCTTTGTGTTCACCCTCTATTAAATAACTTCTGCCTTTGCCTGTGGAGCGCCGTGGTAGTTCATGGAAGCTTCCTGTCATTATATCTGTTTGTTCGTACATCCCGTATGGAAAGCAGATATTCTGGCAGGAGACATGCATGGCACCAGTGATCCACTGATCGCTGGTGCAATGCTTTCCATTCTCCTTTAAACAAAAATAATAAATTCACATTTTCTTATACCTGCAAAAAAATGTGCATTTATTATTTTTGTCCAAAAGGTGAACTTTTCCTTTAAATTCTGAATTGCAGGACATCTAGAACTGATTGAGATTGTGTTATGTTGTGACCCTTACTTGAATTAGCTGTTATGGTATGCACATATTTTCCTGTTGTTTTATTGTGCTTACGTTTGATCTCAATACAATCAAAATATAAGTTCACTCTTAACTGTGTGTGATTCTAGTTTATGGTCGCAGCCAGATGATTTTTCCTGGCTGGAGGTTTAAGGTGGTGTCAGCAGGGCTTGGGCTTCCAGAGCGGGGTCAAGAATGACAGGGAACCCGAAAATTACTCAGCGGCCCCTGAGGGGTTATTGCTACATAGAGTATATTTTCCAAAAGACATTTCTTTTATATTTTCCTTTCCTAGCAGGTGACTGTAGCCATATTAATGCTCTTGCGACAGAAACAATTGACTACTGTCTGTAATACTTTTTTTTTTAATAATTACATTTTTATTAACCAGTTCCCTACTGTGCTATAGCCAAAGGACGACTACAGTGCGGTTGTCTGTTTCTGGGATGACGTCCATGGATGTCATTACAGAACACGCCCCCTATGCACCTCAGACCGGCGCCGCTGGTGCATGGGATACAGTAATTCATGGGATACGGTAATTGGCCAATCACGATGCCCTTTTACCACATGATGAGCTGTGTCCAATGACACAGCAGATCACCGGGTAAATACAGTTGCTGGTTATCATCTGCATCTCACGCTGTCACAGCATGAGGAAAGTACTGCCAATAACGGTCAATTGTCAGAGAAGTGATCAGCGCTGATGATCAGTGCACTGATGATCAGTGCCGCCCACCTGTGCCCTGCAGTGCCACCCAGCAGTGCCACCCACCTGTGCCCTGCAGTGTCACCCAGCAGAGCCGCCAACCTTTGCCCATCAGTGCTACCCACCTGTGCCTAGCAGTTCCACCCATCAGTGCCAACCACCTGTGCCCTGCAGGGCAACCCATCAGTGCCACCCACCTATGCCCATCAGTGCTACCCACCTGTGCCTAGCAGTGCCACACATCAGTGCCACCCACCTGTGCCCTGCAGTGCCACCCACCTGTGCCACCCACCTATTCCCATCAGTGCCACCACCTGTGCCCAGTAGTGCCACCCATCAGTGCTGCCCAGCAGTGCCACCCAGCAGTGCCACCCACCTATGCCCATCAATG